TTAATTATATGTATACATAAAATTAATCATGCATAACTATCCAAGGAGGTACCATAAAATCAGGCTGCGGAGGTATTTTCCTGAAAAAAAAGTTCCTGAATTATTACTTTTTACGATGAGCATCAATTTGATCCATTTGATCGCGTAGCGCTTTCCGTTTCTCATCTCGCATTATCCGAACACTATCAAGGAGTTCACGGCGTCGATTTTCCACTAGCTGGCATATTTCCTGCAAAAAAAAAAAGAGAAAATCCTCAAAAATGAGTTTACGTTGATTTACTGGATAGGAAAAATAATTAAAAGGGATTTTAAGGAAAGGGGGTTTTTTTTTTCTTTCTTCAGAATTCGCCTCCGGAAAGAAATTCCAACTCGGTGATTCTTCTTCCAAAAAAAAACCCTCGGTGTGCATGTGTGTGTGTATTTTACGTATATGTATGTTTGTGTGTGTGCGCGTGTATGTGCATATGTGTATGTATGTCACTCCGAGTATTTCAACTCGACAACCAAGCAGGTTCCGGCGCCAAAATTTCGCGAACCCAGAACAGCAGTACCAACCCTCGCGCATGTTTGGGTTCACGTACGAGCAAGCAAAAACTTTAGCAGGAAAATCGCTAATTCGGGAACCAGAAAAGTTGGAAGGCTGAAATTTCAGTGGAATGTTTCTTACGAAGTGAATTTTGATTTTTTTTATGTTTTTGCATTTCTATGCAAATTACTGTCGAGAGACTGTCAGTGTGTGTTCGGATTTCTGTCACCCACATTCAACTCAGCAACTGCAGAAACTAGGAAGCTGAAATTTCACAAGGATATTCCTATGCCGTGTGTCTTTCAAATAGCTTAAAATCCAACGTCCACGTACGCCTGGGTTGTCTTCATGCAAGTATCCAAGACATGTCAGAACAGCAAATTAACGACACTCTCAGCTTATCCGCTAACCAAAAATGTATGTTAAGAGGTCAAAACTGAAGTCAATGGCATGGTTGCCCAGCTACACCACTGGAGAATGTTCCGTATTTGAATCACTGGTGAACGAGTATTTATATTTTCTTACAGTA